CTTGTTACCTACTGTGCCACTAGTTAGAAGAGTTGAATTATCATGCAAAAATTCTTGCAAATAATCTACCAGTTTCAGGTTTGAAGAGGGATGTAATGATATAGGACACTAGCTTCAAAATCTTTTTTCAAAAAATTGGGACCATTACAGGAATGTAGGCATTGCATCTCATTTGGAACAGGAATAAAACTCAGTCCACCCAAACAAAGGATTCTCAGACATTTGACCTTTTAGTTGGCAGAAAGAAAAAAAATTAAACAGCCATTTATACTCTGTAATTGGCCCAACCTTAATGGAAGATATTCGGTAACAGAGCAGAATGCCAAGACAGGATTTCAGTAAATGGCACGTTATTTCATAAAGAGATCTGTTCAAGGTAAGTTACACAAAAGAGGAAGGCTCACTTCAAGCTACCACTTGGGATTGTATAAAATCAAATCGATTGCATAGTTCCATTAAATTTTATTGATGTTTCTTTAGCTTTTGTATTTCATAGAGCTGAAATAACAAAAACATCTCTGGGATGTCTCACTTTTAACTCCACTTTAAACTCAATTTTTATCTTTTTAATTTCTTTTTAAAAGAACAGGTTTGTTTCTATTTTCAGGTGCTTTGAATATAGCAATAGATATTATTGTACTAAACAGGATTCTGACAATGTTTGGTATTTAACTAGAGTGTGGGCAGAAAGCCAAAGAACTTGTTCTTCCTTTGTGAAGGTGAAGATGATTATAATATTTGGCGCTTGTGTTTCGGATGAGAACTAAAGATGAGAGGAAGCCTCTGCACATTGTCTAAAGAAAAACTGTACTTGGGAAAGTGGTTGCAAACTCAATGGTGGGTCTGCCATGCAGGTCTTGGGAATGGATCAGCTTTGTAGCTCTTATACTTCCTTGTTTCTTTGTTAACATTAGACAGTCATTGTTCTGCAAGTGATATTCTATCATTTTCCTTCACTTAAAGCTTCAGGGTATTTTCAGATAATAATTGCATTTCTTGTAGTTATAAAATAAGAACAATTTTACTTTTTCACAGTATACCTCACCAAGTAATAACTGATGAGAGCTTTAAATACTTCATTTTCTGGTATAATCAAAACACAAAGAAGCAAAATACCATGTTTCATCACCAAAAAATGATTATCGATGCTCAGTATGAACAATAGCTGGCACAGGGAGTTAGTAGGAGATAATTGTTTGTGCCCCAGAAGAACTTGAAAAGACCCTCTTCTGTTTCGGCCACTCCCATCCTCAGTTCCTCAGTTAGTGAACAGTTCTGCTAACACAGGAACCAAGCAGGAAAGATTCATGCTTCTGTCTCCAGAAATCCTTAAGGCTTCTATACTTGACTCCAGCCAATCCATAATTTGTTAAAAAATGCATCATATGAAAAGTGTGACACTGATAAAATATGTGTCATGGAAAAAGAAGTAAAAGTGGAGAGTTGTTGCATACTGTTCAAAATCAATTGTTATTAGCTTAAAATAGACTGTGTAATCAATCCATCAGATGTTTCAAGGAAGGCTGATAGCAACTACAAACTAAAGACCTACAGTAGTTAAGCAAAAGACAGAGAGAAAGGAATTTAAACATACTGGGCAAATAAATTGCGAAGATGATAATAAAACAGGAAGAGGAAGAAAGGGATAAAGGGAACCAAAAGTAGTAATGAAACAATTTTAAAAAGTGCAGTTGTATCCTTACCTATTAAAAATTACACAGTTATGTTCAATCTATAAAAAAATTAACATGTACCTGGATGATTCATGGACTTTATATATACATATAAATACTTCTTTAGATAACTGTTTTAAAATCTAGAAAGCACAACTGTAATATAATTGCAAGTAGTCAAGCAATACAGTAACACTTAAATAGTGATTTATAGGAGACTCTCTGGTGGCCTAGGGGTTAAGTTTCAGAGCTGTCACCTCTACAGCCTGAGTTTGACCCCCACCAGGGAGCTAACACACATATGGCCCACCAGACTTCTCCTGTCTGACTGCTGCTCCCCTTACCAGTGTATTTCAGGAAATCTGCCTGTTCTGCTCCCCACTGTGTTTCTGGTGAATCTTCTCATTCTCCCTCCCCTTTACATCTGACCTACACCCAGTTTTCTATGGAAAAATAAATAAAATTAAAAAAAATAGTGACTTCTATTTCTCATGAAGAGTGACCTTGATTACGCTTTCATGAGTTATTTGAAAGAAGTAGTGAGAAAAGGTATTTTTTGATGAATGAGGACTTTATTGAGGAATTACATAGAGTGATTTAATAGGTACTAATAAAGTTAATGAAAAATATATGATGGAAGTATCCAGGGTACAACTTAAGTTTATTTTTACATTTTTTTAAGATTTTACTTTTATGTATGCATACAAGAACTGGGGTGTAGGCCAGATGTGATGGGGAGGGTAAGAGGATTCACCAGAGACAGAGTGGGGAGCAGAACAGGCAGATCTATCAAAATACACTGCTGAGGAGAGCAGTGGGCCAGTCAGGAGAGGTCTGCTGCGACATGTGGGTTAGCAACCTGGCTGAGGATAGAACTCATGCGGCAGTGGCTTATGATAGCTTGATCAAGCTGACTTTAGCCATCAGGGAGGCCCTATAACTGAAATTTAGATTGAAGACACTGAGTTCAATATGTTTAAACTTGGTCTTGAAGATGAAATAAGTTACTCAGGAGAGGAAGTAAGGCGGTAGAGGAGGAAAGGCAGGCATTTCAGGTAGCATGAGTAAGGCAAGAAGTTGTGAAACTGCACAGAAACAAGACCCTGCTTAGTATTAATACATTACTAAGTTTAAAGGGAGGGGTTTGGGTAACACAACTACAGAATTAGGCAAGAAGCATCAATGGTGGACCTTCTGTGCCATATTTACAGGGCTGAATTTTTTTATTGATTCTGTATAGTTATTAACAGATTATAGAAGAAAGGAATCCAGTCAGATCTTTCAAATAAATACTACAGAATTCAAAGGTTTCGGGCCATGTGATAAAAATAAAATATGGAATAAGTTAATTTCTTTTCTTCTTAAGATTTATTACAAACTAATGTAGAGAAGTGATATGAGATCAAAAGATAGAAATAACAACCAGCTCTTGAATTAGAAAAAAGATGATTTTGCTTTGAATGGCTTTTTTCCTGACCGTTGCTTATAGTGTTATTTACACTAACTCATCAACCCTTTATCTAGTTTCTTATTTGGCCAGAGATATGTATTTGTAAATAGTTTTCAATTATCAGCACCAAACATGTTGGGTACTTAATAATTATATTGTTGATTTGTTGTGGTTTCTCACATACGCGAGAGGAAGGCAAGGAGCCATATAATAGTTGTGGTTTTTTTTTCCCCTCTGTGTGAAGTTAATTGGACTATGTAGAAATTCAGTTCTCAACTTGGCCTCACAAAACCCTTTTTATCATCTCAGCAGGAAACTCACTTTAGGCTTTTTAAGCATACTTTCATGATTTTGATGAGATTATCATTATCATAATCATTATTATTATCCCTCATTAAGTTCCTGGAATACAAGGACATACCATCTCAAGACAGGAAGCTTTTTTTAATAGCCTTCACTTTCTTTTTTTTATTGTAATAATTACAGCAAATTGTGAATTCCAAGACTCTATATTGTCTGGGTTAAGATGCTTAGGTGCTTTGGTTAATAGTCTTCATTTTTATAAAGACATGTTGATAGCCTCAAGCAACCAAATAAGACTTTGTAAAAAAAGAAAGTAATAGAACTAATAGCTGCTTTGAGAAATATGTATAATATATGCTATTTAACAGGTCTTGAAAAATAGAATTCCCTTAGTTTAAAAATCTGTCATTTGTCTTAATAACTATATATTGTAGAAAGAAATATAACTTAGAGCAATATTAGCCACATCATACAAGAAAAAAAAATCTAACATCATTACTGAGCTTTCTGTGTCAAGACCTCTCTTACAGAAACCAGACTACATATTATCATTAATGTAATTTCTCTGAGTAATATTCTCACACGAAGGAGAAATATCCCCTTCCCACTGCTGAAAAATTTCAGTTGATCCCTTTGTCCAAGCAAGGAAGTCTGGCAATCAAGCATTTTATTTTCTGTCAGGTCCACACACATTGCTGTTGACCAGGAGTTAATCGCGGCTTTGTGGACATAATGGTGAGGAGAGCTGACTGGAAAGGGTTTACATGTTGTGGCGTTAATGGATGGCAAACATGAAGGAACATAAAATATGACCAGTGCTATAAAGACTATAAAATGGCTAATGTTACATAAAGATAGGGAGATGCTTTAACTAGTTAAGAAAGGATCACTGAGAAGAAATTTGAGTATGAAAGCTGTGAAAGAAAATTCATGATCTGATATAGGTAGATAGTATTCCAAATTAAAAAAAAAAAAAAGAGCAAAGACCATGATAAGGGATGACCTCACCATAATTAAGGAGAAGAAACAGAAAGGCTGCTTTGCCTCACCTATCTTTCCAAACATCAATTTTTCTTCACTGAAAACCCCAAACCCAAACTTACATGTTTTTGGCAGTTCCTGTGAGGAGCTGACTCATGAATATCTTCCCATGATCGCTGTCTCTGCACTGAGATACCTTCCTATTTCCAGAACTCACCATGATCTGGCAACAACTCACACTGCTTCTAGGGAGCATTTGGATTTAATTCTGTTTCTGGATATCAGATAGTGAATTTCAATAAAAGATCACAACAAAACAAAACTTGTAGCAGTGAAAAGATAATAGAGAAGTATAGACTCTTTCACTCCACTTTTTCCCAGTGCTATATTGTGCCCAGTTCACTAGAAGGAGTCCAGTAAACAGAACACACTGATGTGGATAAGACAAGCACATATGCCAGAAGTGGGAAATGCAACAGAGCTGATCAGTAGGCATGTCAGAGGGAAAAAACAAAACAAAACAAAAAACTCATCACCATGATTTTCCAGACTATGAGTGAAAATGAATGAATTTACAAAAAAGTGGCATATACTTGCGTTCGCAGCACATATACCAAAATTGCAATGATACAGAAAGGATTAGCATGGCCTCTGAGCCAGGATGACATGCAAAATGGTGGTATGAGCCATGAAGAGTCACCAAAGAAGGCACAGGCTCAGGGAACAAGAATATGGTCCTTATGCAGTTTTAAATTTTCCATTTATACGAGTTAAGGAGATTAGTTCTTGGCAATAGAATGAGGGATGCCCTTGGAGATATTTTCCTTTACTCATGTAAACATGTGTTACAAATAGGCAAACTCCACAAAGACATCGAAGCTGCTCATATGAAATCATCTGCATGCCATAAGACATTTTGGGGGAGAGGACAGATTTCACTTCCCTACAACAGCTGAAACTCAGGATCTGTGAATGAATGTCCCCCAACTTGGATGCTGCTGACCATCTACCACATGCCTAGAGCCAATATCCTAGTCCTTGCCCATTCTAGAGGAGAACAAATTTCCCCAAAGCCAACTGTTCATTGTTCATCAAAGTTCATGATAAACTGTATAGAAAATGAAGACTGAAAGAAGGTATAAATGTTATTAAATGGAGAAAAAGAAAGAGGTACATCAGGATTCTTAATATTGTGATGCTGTCCATGATGGGTTTTTTAATTATATGTTTCATAGCATATAAAGTGTTTTTTCTAATTTCGTCTTCAAATATATATAAATGTCTAACCCAAAAATTATATCTGCATTATAATGCAGATATAATTTTTGGGTTGTACATTTAAATAGATATGTTTGGTGGGTATAAATTAAAGAGAGTTCACCTGAAGTGTCACCTACAGTTCTATGGTAAGAGTAGTAAAGGAGCATGACAAATGAAATATTTTCTTTTTTTTTAAGACAATTTACCTGCCAAACACCTGCCCAAATCTGTATTTTCTGGAGATTTATCATGTCTGAGATTTAATGGTGAGCCAAACAGATGGTGCACTGCTATCCTGACTTTTAGATTACAAAAGTCCTTAGCTTTAAGAGCACACTTTATACTTCATCATGTTACAGAAACACTACGTGAAAGGAGGAGGGACTTTAAATAGTTGTCATTTATCCTGTCCCCACTTATGTGCAGTCACCTTGGATTACAAATTCTAGTATGCTATGAACCAGACTTCCTGAATGGGGAACCATCTGTAGGTGCAAGGTGGATCTAGAGACAGAAGACAGATGAAGGGAAATAGGTGGAGGAGAAACATGTACAGGGATTTAGAAGAGATACTTGGAAGAGACATTTGGATAAAACGTGGTGAGCCTGCTCCTAGTCCTTGGCAGAGTCAATGGCAGCTATTATCTTGACTTCATTTTGGATTCTGTTTCCTTTACCTTTGTGCTCACAGATGGCCAGAATGTTTAGAGCATGCACATCTTCAGAGATTAGGGTCACTGGGTACCCCTTCATTGTACTCTAACAATCGTAATCCTCTATATTACCTGTTCACACATTAATTTGACAAGAACTTAATACTTTAAAAACGCTTGAATAATAAAAAAAATGAAGGAACCTGAAACTATATGCCTGGCCCCAAGTGTTGAATAGAAATCCTATGGAAAGCTGCAGCCTTGGTATCTATCATGGGGGAGACCGGGCACTTCTTTCACAGGCATGCAGGGAGGCTACAGCAGGGGAGAATGCTAATTACAGATCAGAAGCCTCCATTCTTAGATGCTTTACTGACACTCCTGTTAGGTGCAGATTCTGACTCTCAGGCAGAATATAAAGAATGTTTTTGTGATCAAAGAAAGAAGCATTTGGGCAATTTGCATAATTTGTAGAAAGATGCCTCCCAACAAAGTTATGGAGACTTGGACTTTTTTAAGGTTTCTAGTCCTGTGGGGTTAGTACAGTTCCACTGTCATCTAAAGTAGACCCCTTGTCCCCCAAATTAGATAGCCCTCAAAAAGGCTCACAACAACTAGACAGTTTGTGGTGTTATCCTTTGTCAACTCAACTGAGATATTCCTCAGATATTTTGATTCTATTTTCTACTAAGTACACCAAGAAGAAAATGTAGAGAATGCTTTTCTGTACAAACCAATTCCCCAACCTGTAAGTGTAGAATTTTCTTCATGAAAAAGGAAACGCATATGATAAGCGGACAGATTGAACATTATTGCTTAAGGCAAGGAGTGGAAGGAAGCTGGGAAAACTGTGAGAAAGTTTGATTATAGCAACAATAGCAGGAGTCACAGTAAATCTGAGCTAGCTTGGGAAGGATTCTGGGCATCAGTTAGTCTGGGGTTGCTGCAGGGGCTGCTACATTTTCTGTATTAGACCATGTCCTGTTCTTGTAGTCTTAGGACACCCATGAGTCTTCTTGGAACTTCAGAATGCTTCCTGGTCTGTCCTCTCCGCAACTCTTGTTTATGTTACATGTAAAGGTAAAATGTGGCTATTTGTTTTATGGACTTTTAACTCATACCCTCCTGCAATAAACAATTATGGTTTTACTGGTAGGGTTTTTCTTTTATGCCTTTGGTACTCCTAACTGGGATCAGGTAGTTTGGATATTGGGCTCACTCGGTGCTTCATTTGCTGGGAGTGCCTCATATTCTTTTATCTCAATATGTGACCCAGTGCAAACTGCGATGGGAGGGTTCACATTTAATTCTGCATCTAATACAAAATTATCCTTTGTACCTGTTCTATTGAAGTAACTGATGGAAGATTGCTGGTACCTTATATAAATATGTTATAGATAAGAGAGTAATAATGGTATCTTACATTTGGATAATGCTTTATGATGTACAATATTTTTACTTTATTACTATTATTTCAGATTATAAACATAACAACCCAGAGAAAAGAAGGTAATATTTTCTCCATTTTGTAGGTAAGAAGCTAAGTACAGGAACGTTAGGTGTTCATAGTAATACAAATAGGAATCAAAAGGGACTCAAATTCAGACTAATAGACTATGAAGTCTCCCCCAGTTTCAGGGGCTATAAGTTCTTAATATGGGTAGAGCTCCATCAGATCTCTAATTACACTCTACCAAGCAGAACACTTCTTCCTTTTGGAAGCAAAAGGGGGACATCTAGGTTTGCACCCCTCAAATACCTTTGAAGAGTCCTAATGGGTGTAGAAATACACTGGGTTCCCCCCCACCCCAGGACATTCCCTGGGGCAGGTGGTGCATGATCTGATCAAATCTAATCTAATCTAATCTAATCTAATCTAATAAAATCTACCATAGTAGACCCAGGCAAAGGCACAGACCCTGGACTAGCAATTCTATATCTTGCTTCTAAGAGGCAGTTTACATGCAGTTTCAGAAATTCCTTTTTAATTTTCTTTTAAATAAAATACTGACAGCACAGCCACAATGTTCTAGTACTTACTAGGTACTACATGGCCGTAGATTGGAAGATGGAGTCAATGCTGAGGGTCCATATAATTCAGGAAAAGAGACTGACATGTACTACAAAACTGATCCTAACTTGGCATGATAGAAACAACAAAGTGACAGGATAAAGATTTATGACAGTAATGACCAGTTACACTTTCATGCCACTGTTGCTACAGATTTGCTGCTGTGAGTACTGATGCCGTGACTGGATGTTGAATTCTGCACCTTTGTGCATTCTCTCTTCTCAAAAGAATTTACTTTGGAAGTAAACTTTGAAGAAGCAAATAAGATACAAAATTCAGATTCTCAAGAGATTTGCTATAACCCACTTTTAATTCTAGAGCTGAGTTTTTTTTCTAATAAAATTAGATTACCTAGGAAATAAATTCAGCCCTGACTGAGTTCAAACAGGAAAGTTCCTATTTACCTCCTGATTGATATTAAAAAAAAAAAAAAAGCCAATGATGTAGGAGATAGAAATAAAACTACAGATGGAAATGCAACATTGCAATTTTTTTGTAATGAGAGCCTGGTAGAATTTGCCACATTTTATTTTAGGAGTAAGTACTGAAGAGTGTTTCTCCAACTAGGCCTTTCTTTCTGATGACCATGCTCCATGGGGGTGGGAAGTAGGGCAAAGTTGCAGTGGCATCCTCGGGGTACAGTACTTCATTCCCCCCCTCAACAGACATCCATCTCCTCCTACTCCATACCTCTCAGCAAATTGTTGAGCTTTGGGTCATAAAGGCAATTCAGTGTGTGGACACTGAGCAAGGAAGCAGCCTTGCCTCAGACACTGGGGAGAGACACTGCAAGGTTTGAAGCAGGACAGTGTGTTCTCTGGAGCTCAGATACTGCCCATGGGACTCTTTCAACTCAGGAGCTTTCTTTAAAAGTCAGAATTAATGGGGAGGTGACCCGCAAGGTACTGGAATGGGAGCACTTTTGCTTACCTCCTTATACTAGCTCAGCTCATCTGTAGGTAAATATAGACTAATCTACACAGAAGCAAACCTGAAATCTGGAAAAAATAGTTTCCACAACTAAGTTTATTTTTTTTTATGATTTATTTATTTATCCATACAAGAACTGGGGCACAGGCCAGAGATGCAGGAGGGGGCAGTGAGAGGATTCACCAGAGACAGAGCAGGAAACAGAACAGGCAGACTGATGGAAATACACTGCTGAGGGGAGCAGCGGGTGAGCCAGGAGAGGTCTGCTGCGCCATGTGGGTTGCTCCCTGGCTGGGGATCGAACTCATGCTGTAGAGGCTGCGATTGCTTCATAGTGTGGTGCTTAACCCTTTGTGCCACCAGTGAGACCCTCCACAACAAAGTTTAATAGACTGCATCAAGAAAACTAGGAGATTTTCCTGGTCCCTTATTTAAGTTTTCTAGATTCCTGCTATGAGTGAGACCATTCGGTATTTTTCTTTTTCTTTTTGGCTTATTTCACTGAGCATGATCCCTTCCAGCACCATCCATGTTGCTGCAAATTGCATGTGTTTATCTTTTTTGAATGCTGAGTAATATTCCATGGTATATATGTACCACATCTTCTTGATCCAGTCATCTATTTTTGGGCATTTGAGTTGTTTCCAAAGCTTAGCTATTGTAAACAGTGCTGCTATAAACATCGGGGTGCAGGTGTTCTTTGGAATTGATGTTTCTGTGTCCTTTGGGTAAATACCTAGGAGTGGAATTGCTGGATCATATGGAAGCTCTATGTTTAGTAG